GTAGTCATGAATACATCAAACCTCTTGTACCACTGTCTAGGGGATTGCTTCAAACCATACAAAAACTTCTTTAGTTGACATACGTGATCTTCTTTTCCCGCAGCTAGGAAACCTTCAGGTTGATCCATATAGATTGTCTCTTCTAGATCACCGTGTAAGAAAGCAGTTTTGACATCAAGCTGTTGAAGCTCCAAGTCAAATTGTGCAACCAATGCTAGTAGCACGCGAATTGAGCTATGCTTCACGACCGGAGAGAAAATCTCATTGTAGTCAATTCCCTCCTTTTGGCTGAAACCTTTTGCAACCAATCTCGCCTTGAACCTAGCATCTTCCACTTCAGGAATTCCCTCTTTCTTTCGGTAGACCCACTTGCATCCAACTGTCCTCTTCCCCTTTTGTCTTTTCACTAAGACCCATGTCTGATTCTTGTGAAGAGACTCCATCTCTTCAGTCATGGCTAACCGCCATTGTGCGGCATCCTTGCAAGAAGTTGCTTCAATATACGAGGAGGGCTCCAGATCTTTAATCTCTTCTTGTGCAGCTACGAACGCATATGCAATCAAGTTTGCTTGATTTATAAGGCGTTCCGGTTCTCGTGTCTGCCTCTTCTCCCTCCCCTTCGCAATTGTGTATGGTTCATTGACAGCAAGTTCTTCAAGGCCTACATCTTCTGACTCATCTTTAACCTGAGTCTCTTGATCCTTTTCCTTGGCAAGCTCCACCGGAAGCTCCACCTGCTCGTTGTTCTTGTTTCCTGAAAACTCCACGGAAACTTTACGGGGATCAAGTATAGAGGATTCATCGAAGGTGACATCTCTACTAACTATAAATTTGAGTAAAGACAAACACCAAAGTTTGTACCCTTTTACTCCATCCACATACCCTACGAATATGGCCTTCTTAGCCCTTGGTTCAAGCTTTCCTTCATTAACGTGATAATAAGCTGGACACCCAAATACTCGTAAGTATGAATAGTTAGAGGGTTCACCTGACCATACCTCATTCGGAGTCTTAAAGTCAATTGCCGATGCTGGAGATCGATTGACAATATGAGCAGCAGTGTGAACTGCTTCAGCCCAAAATACTTTGGACATTTTGGCTTGTAGGAGCATACAACGAGCCTTTTCAAGAAGAGTTCTGTTCATTCTCTCGGCAACTCCATTCTGCTGTGGGGTATGCCTGACAGTCCTATGTCTTGAGATCCCATGAACCTTGCAGAATTCATTAAACTCTTCATTGCAAAACTCCAAGCCATTGTCTGTGCGAAGATACTTGATTTTCCGCTCCATTTGATTTTCAACCAAAATCTTCCACTCTTTAAATGCTTCAAAAGCATCACTTTTTGCCTTCAAAAAATACACCCAAACCTTTCGTGAGAAATCATCAATAAAAATGAGAAGATACCTCTTTCCGCCCTTCGATGGAAGTTTAGAAGGACCCCATAAATCTGAATGGATGTAGTCTAGCACTCCTCTTGTCTTGTGTTTGCCAGTGCTGAAGCTGACCTTCTTCTGCTTCCCTAGAACGCAGTGCTCACAGAAGTCAAGCGTGCTGATCTTCTCACCTTCCAAAAGTTTACGATTGCTCAACATCTCCAGTCCACGTGCGCTCATATGACCCAGTCTCATGTGCCATAGTCTTGCCTTGTCATCATTAGATAACTGCACTGTAGATGCATTTGCAGAGCCAACAATGGTGCTTCCGGCCAATGTGTAAAGGCCGTTCTCCAGCTTGCCTTTCAGCATGACTAAAGAACCTTTAGTCACCTTCATAGTTCCTGCTTCGCTCATGTACCTGTAGCCTTGTTCATCCAGAGTACCCAAGGAGATCAAATTCTTCTTCAGATCAGGAACATGACGGACTTGTGTAATAGTCCTCACGATTCCATCATGGCAGCGAACCCGAACTGAGCCAATGCCAACTATTGCACAAGTTGCATTATTGCCCATTACTACGGTTCCTCCACTTTTCTCGTAGCTGCTAAACCAGTCTTTTCGGAACGTCATATGCAGAGTACAAGCAGAGTCTAACACCCATTTGTTTTCATAACTACTATTATTATTACACGATGTTGTTAGTACATAATCATTATCAAAATTATGTACCTGTTCAACTGTAGATGCACTCGCCTTTTCCTTGGACTTTGACATTGGGCAATCTCGTTCAAAGTGCCCCTTCTTGCCACAACCCCAACACTCTGTATTCTTCTTGTTCACACGAGACTTTGATCTGTGCTTTGATTTGGTCTTTCCCTGTTGGCTAGTCCGGCCTCTTACAAAGAGGCCACTTGCCTGGTCATCTCTATCTCCTTCAATGTGCCTCCGCACATCACTAGAGTTAAGTGCCTGCCGCACTTGCTCAAGCTTGATAGGCTCCTTGCTATACATCATTGAATTCTCAATATCACGATATCCTGAAGTCAATGAAAATAGCAAAGCACATGCAAGCGTCTCCTCCTCCCTTTTAATTCCTGCAATCTGTAAGTCCATGACAAGTTTATTAAACGCATCTAAATGATCTTGTAACGAAGTACCTGACCCCATCTTAAATGTGTGAAGACGCCGTTGTAACAACATTCTTGTTGTCACTGATCGGTCTTGGTATAGCCCTTCTAGCTTTTCCCACAACTGTTTGGCCGTCTCTTCGGTACCCGTACTCACTTCACAAAGCACGTTAGGTGCAAGGGATAGTTGGATTGCACTCAATGCATCCCCTTCAATCTTCTCCTTGTCGGGAGCTGATATATCCGTAGGATACTTTCCGTCAATAGCATGGATTGAACCTTCCCTCCGCAGTAACGCCATCATCTGGATCTTCCAGATATTGAAGTTGTTGCGTCCATTGAATCTATCAATTTCAAACTTCATGGAACTCATATTTGCTTGTTCTTTCTCCTTGGATCGTTAAAGAATCCTGTCGCTCTGATACCAATTGTTAGCGGAAACGTAAAAGAAAGAACACAAGATTTAACGTGGTTCGGATCAAAATAATCCTACGTCCACCAGAGAACAATTGCCCTTTTAATATTAACAAAGGAAGGGGAGATTTCCCAATTACACTTAAGAGAATTTCTCTCTTAACTCTCTACTCACTACAATGTATTGTATTATTTTGGGATGATTTCTACAAGTGAAGGAGTGCATCTATTTATAGAGGTAAAGACCTCCTCTTGATGTCATTGGTGACATCAAACTACCTCCTCTTGATGTCATGGGTGACATCAAAGGAGGAAGCTTCCTCCTAGCATCCACACCAACTCTTTCCACCAACTCTTCCAATTGGCATGTCATTGTTGACTAAACATAAACCAACATTTTCAGCATGCCATTGTTAACTAAACATAAACCAACATTTTCATATACCTATACAGTTTTTTTACTTTTATTTTTCATTTTTTATTATTTTGTTTAAGTGGCTCAACTTGGATTCTAGCAGTTACGGTTGACATAAGATGAAAAGGCAGAAAAGTATGGGTATGAAATGCTTTATGTCAGGTAATTTTGTACCCGCTTAGCAATTTAGAAAGATTCCTCATCTACCTTGAATCCAGCATCAACGCTCCTAACAGCCAAGGTTCCAATAACATCATCAGCTTCAACACCTGGCACCTGCTTAAGAAACAAATGAACCTAGCATCTTGCAAGCTTAGAGGATTGATCTTTGACCCGGTACTTGATGAACCTCACCTCAATCACCTTGACGGACATGGCCTTAAGGGAAGCTTTCAAAAATTGAAGTCCTTGAACAATTGTATCAGGTGTTGGAGGACGATTGCTTTTGTAAGAGGGGTACATATTGTGACGAAAATTCAGGCCTATGCAAAATAATCTAGAATATTAGAAATGGAACTATTGACAAGAGAATAAAGCTTCAAATGATTTTGGCTAACACGTAAGACCTAAATTATCAATGCGATCTGCAATGTTATCATAGTGATTTATTAAAGGCATTATCCCACAAAAGAAAAGACTGATATTTTAAAAGCAACACTTGCACTTTTGGAAGTTATATCTCCTATACGTACTATTCAACAATTACTACTTCCCTTTTCTTTAGAAAATTGACCAATACTATCATGCACATGTAAACTTCTTCTCTTTATAAGCCATGCATTTTCTATTATCTTGCAACAAGGAAGTTCATACATCTGAAATCACATCAACTGGCAAACCATAGAAATAAAAGAACCTGAGAACAAACTTCATTTTTCAGAACTGGAATAAACTTGATTATCCTATCGTTTCCAGAAAGAACTTTTACCAACGTGAATACCTAAGTTGTATACTAACATCAAAACTCTCACTGTTAACAATAGGTAAGTGCTCAACCAAGCCACTTCCAAATAAGAGCTTACATCTTCCCTCTCCTTCCAAAACAAAAGGAAGTGAACAAAAAAAAAAATTGAAAAGTGAAACAAACATATCTTCTCTAGCATCAAATTATTGAGAGAGAAAAAATTGACATTATGGTGCAGCACAAGAAAATGACATGAAGTAATCATCACGAAGATTCAGAAATTGATATACCGCATTGCAGTTTATGTTACGTACTTAGGGACAGTGTCCAACTGGGATAGGTTTGTAACAAGTTTTTATCTCATACATAAGATACTGTTGGAATCTCTAAAATCTCTAGCTGCCATCAGTACCAAAGAAACCCTCTCACTTGGCTCTCAACATAGTAAGCTTCAGAAAAGGACAAAAGAAGAAACATAGAGAAACATACCTTTTGCAACAAAATTTTGTTTGGTTGAAAGAGATGTATGACCAAAGGGAAATCCTGTAAGGATTTGATTTGACAAACAATATTAAGAGAAACTCGCTTAGTCCCAGTTATTTTGAAAAACTTTCATGAATTATTGATGATGTGTAGATCAACGCTATTGCTAGCAAAATTGTATCAAAAAACCGGTGTCCAAGAAAAAATCTCAAGAAAGAAACCTGAATTTCACAAAATATATCCCAAGAAGATATTTACCTGTTTAAGACAGAAGTTCCATTATAACTATCAAGAAATAAGTAAAAAGATAATACACACTATTTGCACCTAAGTTGCCCCAACACAGCAGTTTAGGTGTTGCACCCGTATCGACACGACATTAGTATGGGTGTGGGTATACCGGATCCAATCAAACAATTTGGCTACTTTGACCACGGCGGACGGAAAAATTTGAGACAAGATACAATTTGATTCCCAAAATCAGAACCAAAACTAGGGTAAATTTGAAGAAAATAGTATACCTTATCTAGGAAATCATTTTTTTTAAGCAAATCAATCTTTTACTTGTCTTCAACTTGAGAATAAAAAAGAAATCCACACTTTACAAGCTATACGTAAGTATTCCACAAAATCTTTGGTACTACAGAGATTTTTTTATTTTTTTGAATTATTTTAGACGGATCCCCGCACCCGAATCCGTACTAGGATCCATATCCCCAAAATCTTAGAATTTACATCTCGAAGGATCCGACCTCTAAATCCACACCCGTGTCTGAGCAACTTAGATCTGCACTTTATCGTCTGCACTAAGTAAGGTTCAGCTACTTGCCAGCCAAACTTTCCTAGGTTGCACTATGTATCTAAACTCTGAAAGTTATTGCACCTTACTATCATTATCAGACATTTTTTTAGCATATTCAAGCAGTATCATTGATCTCTTTCAAAAAGAAAAGTGAGTACGGAAGCTAGTTGACTCAAAATCCAAACAAAAAGAGCTATCAACTTATATTGTTGCAGCGATAGTAACGATCCAGGATCAGATATGTATTCCAGCGTTTTAAAGAAAGTTAGGACTCATATCAGGATTTGCCCCGGTGTGAGGTAGCATTTAAATGCACCAACGTGGCCATGGGGACTTGAGTCTCATGGAACTAACTCCTCGAGAAATGGGCTTGCCTCGTACCTGCTTTACACTTTGTGTTGTCCACCTCATACGCCTCAAGAACGTCCTTTACATGTTCTATACCTTGGATTGTCCATCCTATACATCTCAAAATTTTCTTCTTCTTTTTAAGAATTCTTTCAAAAAAACTCGAACTTATGTGATATGTTGTTATTTTACCCCACTAAGGGATTAGATATGGAGAATTGGGATTGAGTAATAGGCACTTTGGAGATAGTAATAGCGGAAAAATATGGCACACATGTAGGAGGTTGAAGGACTGAAAACATCACTTTACTTATGGACTTCGGTAATGAGGGAGCATCATATAAGGATGGGAGGAGTTCAGCGGCAACGCCACTTACATAAGTGGAAATGTATGTGAATTAGTTTCCCTAAGCGTCACCTACGCTTCGGTCTTTCGCATATCGAGTTAGAGGGAGTAACCAATTAATCAGGTATATGGATAATAAAACAAAAGGTGCAGCATGGGATACCTAAGATTCAGGAGAAACTTACAAAACTGGGTGGTAGAGGAACCACAGAGAATGATGGAGGTATTCTACATATAGAATATCACACAATTAGATCAGGATTTGAGAAAGTGGAAAGGAAGAGGAAATGGCTTATTTTAGGCGAAGTCCTTTACACCAGGCTATTGAAGAGGGAGGACTCAGCATACCTAAACCTATCAGTTTGGATTGTCTGAGTAGATAATTAGTCACTTTTCTTTTGTCATTTCAAATCTTATCTACAAATAAAGCACTCTCACTTTTGTAGAGCAAAATTTTATTGCCTTAGATAACAACGCAAACGAGGACAACATTCTCGTTTGACTTCGAATTTTGGGTAAAAAGCTAGAGATAACAAAGATACAACAATTATTTAGAGCTTAAATGGCCAAATGCGCTTGCAAAGCTTGGATAGCAAAATGTCAACCTACACAGTAAAGATGAATTTACCATGGTCCTTCCATGATGACATAAAATTGTGTTAACTTGTCCCCACAATTCATATGAACCTTGTGAAGAAAATTTTAAGAAAGCAAAATAAAGGGAAAATGAGGCAATAATTCCAATAGCAGCTGGAAGAGCTTTGCTTTTGCTTTCAACATAAACTAAATATCAAAATATCAAAATAACAAGTTAAAAGGGAAAATCACTTCTTTCCTTCATCCTGATATAAGGAATGACGACTGAAAAATTGAATTGAAGTCACAAATTCTGAATAACATACTGCTTTTGATAAATAACGTTTCAGGATTATAACTATATCAAATGCTTTAAGAAGTACAATAACAACAGAGAATTATGTCGATAAAAATGAGATAAGCAAGGAAAAACATACACCAAAACTGCATAGGCTCTGTCTAATCAAAAAGTGATACGCATGAAACGATGGCGACGCAATTAGAGAAACTCTGCCAAAAGCTCAAGACATAATGACAGAGACGAAAACTGAGAATGGTCAAAGAGAAAGAAATGATACAATAACAACTCTTACCGTCATGATCAAAAACAACCTGCAAAGAATGCAACTTAAGTTAGAGGATGAGACTATATGTCACAGTAAGTACGCAAAAGAAAATGATCAAAGAAATTGCATAAAAGAAGTCAAATGAAGAAGATATTATTAAGAGACTCCCATCCAGTGACAAAAACTATGAATCAGCCATCTAACAGAATTGAGTTCAGCTCCAAAGAGAAATTATGTGGCTTAACCCAAAGGACAAATCCGTGAGATCTTTTGGGCCAATACGGACAATATGTGTCATGAGCTTGGGTTGTGACAAATATGGTATCAATGTGGCGCAAATCTCACCGAGGACACTAAGCCCCTTAAGGGGGTGTATCTGACCCGCTGGTGTGTGTGTATGGGG